CGCGGACCCCCGGAGACCCCACCTTCCCGCCCCCCATTCCTCGGCCTTTGCTCGGGGGAGAGCCCTGGCCGGGAGCCCATGTGGCGGAGCCTCGCCTCGTCAGGGGAGAGCGTGGGCTCTGAGCCTGGAGGGCCGGGCAGGAGCCCCCCGCGCGTGCACCCCCGGGCCTCTGCAGGCGGGCTGCCCTGCGCCCCTAGAGGACTGGGGACCCTCGGGTGACGAGGCCCGCGTGGTGGAGGGGCAGGGGAGCGCGCCCGCCCAGGCCACCGCCGTGGCTCCGCTCTCCCCTGCTGCAGGTGGCGGCCAAAGCCCTGGAGACCGGCGTGTTTGGTGCGTATTTCAACGTGCTCATCAACCTGAAGGACATCACAGACGACGTGTTTAAGGACCAGGTGGGCAGGAGGCACCCGGGACTTGGCCCGCAGTGGGACCCGGTGGTGGCTTCGGCGCTACGGTGCCACCGCGTGGCCTGGGGAGTGTCCCCTGTGAGATGCCTCTGGGTCCTGACCACGTAGGTGTCGACTTGCAGGCTGGGCCGTGTGAGCCCCTCTGGGCTCAAGGTCACAGCCCTGCCCCCCGCGGTTGTGGCCACAGTGGGAAGACCCGGGGGGGAGCCTGCTGTCCTCAAATCTCAGGAGAGCGCTGTGAGGAGTTGGGACCACCCGGAGAGGACAGGCCGGGGAGCATGGCGGGGACACAGGGTGGCCGGGACCCGGGGCTGGTGGGGACGGGCTCAGGTGCAGGTTGACACCTGGGCCGTGTCTGCCAGACCCGCCAGCACATCGCCAGGCTCCTGCAGGATGCCAAGACCCAGGCAGCGCTGGTGCTGGACCACCTGGAGGCCCGGCAGGAGTGACCGTGGCTGGGACACCGTGCGGACGCCGCGCCCCTCCACGCCCCTCCCCTTCCCACGGGCCGGCCCTGCCCAGTGACACAGCCTCCAGACACGTCTCTGTGGGGCCCCGCGTGGACTGGGGGGCCAAGGGTGCGCTTGGGGAGCGAGTCACCCCCATCAACTGCCGCCCTGAGTAAAGTGATGACGCACAAGTGCCCGTGTGGTGTGACTGGAGGTGGCTAGAGAAGGGATGGCGGGCTCAGTGGACAGGGACGGGCCGAGATGCGTGGGCATGGGGACAGGGGTCAGAGGAGTCAGGGGACACGCCGGTCCCAGGGTTCCACAGACGCGTGAGCCAGGCCCCTGGAGCCCGAGCCGGGCCAGGGGTCACTGGGAGCTCCCGGGGCTGGGGCCATCCCCGCCCGGCCCCCCTCACACCTCCTTAGCAGGAGCTCCTGGGGCCTGGTCGGTATTTAGAGAGACTCCGACTCAAAAGCGTGTTTTATTCACTCATCCTTCCCCGTATTTTCATTGTGAAATGTAAGAAACATTCAGAAATCACGGCCAACAGCTCAACGGCTTGTGGCCATGTCCCGGGTGGCCCTCTCTGGTCTCAGAATCCCCCCGACTCCCAGGGCCCTGCTCGACAGCCCCTGAACCCATTCCCCTGTTGGCCCGTGTGCAGACGCGAGCTCGTCGGCTTGCTGACCTCAGAGCCCTCTGACCCCTGTGGTCCGGCCTGTCGTTCAAAGCCCCCGTTTCCTTGTTGGTCTGCAGCTTGGACGACCTGTGCACTGTGGGCGGGGTGCGCGGGCCCCTGCTATATTGTACTATCATCAGTGGGTTTCTTTAATTCGGTTATTAATTGGCTTATGTCACGGGCTGCTGCCACGTTAGGGGCATAAATATCCACAACTGCCCGATCTTGTCGGAAAGACCCTCTCATCTTGGTGTAGACGCTTTATGATGAGAGACCCCTTCTCATCTCTTGTTACATTCTCTTTTGTTTATTTTTATTTTTTATTTTTTTAAGATTTATTTATTATTTATTTATTTATTTATTTATTTATTTATTAATAACTCCTCCTTATTTATTTATTCATGAGAGACACAGAGAGAGAGAGAGGCAGAGACACAGGAGGAGGGAGAAGCAGGCTCCATGCCGGGAGCCCGACGCAGGACTCGATCTCGGGTCTCCAGGACCGCACCCTGGGCCAAAGGCAGGCGCCAAACCACTGAGCCACCCAGGGATCCCCTTTCTTTCGTTTAAAATCTAATTTGTGTGATAGAAGGATGGCCACTACTGGCATCTGTTAGCATGAGACAGGGGTCTCCGCCCCCCACTTTCAATCAGTAGGTGCCTTTGGGTCTAAAATGAGCCTCCTGTAGACACCACATGGAGGGGCCTTGCTTTTTTTTATCCAATCTGTGCTCTGTGTCTTCTGCTTGGAGCGTTTAGCCCATTCACATTCAGAGGAACTATTGAGAGATACGAATTTAGTGCCATCCTACTACCTGTAAAGCCCCTGTTTCTGTAGATTGTCTTTGCTTCTTTCTGGTCTGTGTCACTCTGGGGCTCTCTCCTCTCTTACGGGATCCCCCTTAATATTTCTTGCAGGCCTGCTTTTGTGATCACGTCTCCTTTCAGTTTCTGTGCGTCCTGGAAGCTCTTTCTCTCTCCTTCCACTCTGAACGACGGCCTTGCTGGGCAAAGTATTCGTGGCTGCGTGTTTTTCTCATAATAGCACCTGGATGTCACGCCAGCCCTTTCTCCCTGCCAGGTCTCTACGGACAGGTCGGCCGCCAGCCTAATGTGTCTGCCCTTGTAGGTTAAGGTGCTGTTGTCCTGAGCTGCGTTTGGGATTCTCTCTTTGTCTCTGAGATTTGCAAACCCCCCTATTATAGTCGGGGAGCTGACGTATTTTTGTTGATTGGGGGGGGGCTCTCTGTGCCTCCTGGACTTGGAGGCCTGCTTCCTCCCCAGATTAGGGACGTTCTCAGCTATGAATCGTTCAAATACTCCTTCTGCCTCCCGTTCTGAGATCCCGATTATTCGAATATTATTTTTTTTGAGATTTTATTTATTTATTCATGAGAGACATGGAGAGAAAGAGAGAGAGAGGTAGAGACACAGGCAGAGGGAGAAGCAGGCTCCATGCAGGGAGCCCAATGTGGGACTCGATCCTGGGACTCCAGGATCACGCCCTGGGCTGAAGGCGACGTGAAACCGCTGAGCGTCCCCAGCTGCCCATATTATTTTATGGTGTCACTGATGTCTTGAATTCTTCCTTGGGGTGGAGTAGTTGTTTATCTCTATTTCTCAGCATCTTCATTCTCCATCATCTTGTCTTCTAGGTCCCTGACTCTCTTCCACCTGGTTTATCACAGCAGTTAAAGCCTCCACTCCTGAGAGCACCTCAGTAATGACATTTTTAAATTTCAGCCTGATTAGACTTTAGTTATTTCTCCACTGAGGGATTCTCTGGTTGTCTTTTGTGCTTTTCCCAGGCTCAGCTACTCTCTTTATAATCGTTTTGAATTCTGTTTCCAACATCTAATTTATACCCACGTTGACTAAATCCCTGGCAGTGAGTACTGCCTCCTGTTCTCACTTTTGGGGTGAGTTTCTCCGCCTTGTCATTATGTCCAGAAAAGAATAGATGAAAGAGAGAGAGAAAGAGAGAGAGAAGGCAAAAATAGCAACAATACCAGAAAAATGCAAACAAAACAAAACAGAAGAAAACAAACAAAACAAAATAAGGAAAGAAAATCAAACAAGGAGTAACACAGAACGAAAGAGTAGACTAGATCCTGGGTGTATTTTGGTCTGTTTGCTAAAAGAAACTAGATCCAAAATAGGATTTTTCTTTCTATCCTGTTTTGGATCTAGTTTCTTTTAAGAAAGAAAAATTCGTGTATATACAAAAATAAAATGAAATGCAATGAAAGGAAACCAAAAATAAAAAATATATACACGAAAAAATTTAAAAGGATTTAAAAAAGAATTGATAAAAGAAGAAAATAGCTGAAAAAAGGTAAAAGCGAAAGACTAAGGAATAATAAACCCACAAACGCTGTGCGCTCCCTCCCTGGGGCTTGCTGGCACCCACGGTTCCGCCACTCGTGACCTTGGCGCTGGCGGGATGCGCCCGGGCTCTTCGTGGGGAGGGGCCTGCTGCGCTCGCTCTCAGCTGACCGGCCCTGCGCCCTCTGCACCCTCTGCACTCTCTGCACCCTCTGCACCCAGGGCCGGGCTCGGGGTCAGCCGCTCTGGTTTGCACCGTGTGGCGCCGTTCCCCCTCCCAAGGGCTCTCGGAACCTTCCAGAAAGTGGTTACTTTTCCGTCTGTAGAATTTCAGCATTCTCTCTCAGGTCTCCCGCTGATTCCGCCGGTGTTCAGAACGATTTGAAAACTGGGTGGAGGGATCCCTGGGTGGTGCAGCGGTTTGGTGCCTGCCTTTGGCCCAGGGCGCGATCCTGGAGACCCGGGATCGAATCCCACGTCGGGCTCCCGGTGCATGGAGCCTGCTTCTCCCTCTGCCTGTGTCTCTACCTCTCTCTCTCTCTCTCTCTGTGTGACTATCATAAATAAATAAAAATTAAAAAAAATTAAAAAAAAAAAAAAAGAAAACTGGGTGGATTCCAGGGACCAGATGAAGTTAGGGTCCCCTACTCCTCCACCATCCTAACCCCCCCCCACCCCGCCCAGAGGCATTTTTTTTTAATATTTTTTTTTAATTTTTTTTTATTTATGATAGTGAAAGAGGCAGAGACACAGGCAGAGGGAGAAGCAGGCTCCATGCACCGGGAGCCCGATGTGGGATTCGATCCCGGGTCTCCAGGATCCGCCCTGGGCCAAAGGCAGGCGCCAAACCGCTGCGCCACCCAGGGATCCCCCAGAGGCATTTTTAAAGCACTTTGGCTCAGTGTGGGGACAGAGCAGGGACCTCCCTAGTCAAACAGCTCAAGGCCAGCTGGACAGGTGTGGGTTCCACAGTCGCTGTCCCGTCTGTACCCTGGGGGTGGTGTGGGCGACCTGTGCCCCAGGGGGGCAGGCCAGGTGGGGCTCCATGGTCGGTCCTGGCGGATGTGGATGGCCTGAATGTCCCCATGGCTGCCACGGGGGCCCTTGCTGGGCACGGACACAAGGAGGCTGGGCGCAGGAGGCAGTTCAAAGACTTTATTGGACTGGGCATGTGCACGGGGTGGGGGAGTGTGCAGGGCCTGCTGTCCCGGCTCAGTCTGGGGCACGTGACCTCCAGAGGCCAGGCAGAGACCTCGGGGGCGCCAGAGGGGCCAAGGAGTCCAGGGATGGGGCTGGGCTGAGCAAGGCCGGGGGAGCCAGGGCCGTGCCCATGAGGATCTGGAACACTGGCCACCGGAGCCCTGCCAAGCCTCTGGGGCCCAGGGGGGGCGTGGAGGGTGGGGGGCCAATGGGGGGACAGGAGGGGTGCAGGGTGGCGGGGTCCTCTGCGGGGCTGGGATGGGTGGGGGTCCTCCCTTCCTGACTTCACACCCACACCTGGAGACCTGGTGTCTGCACGTGCGAGACCTCTGGGTGAGTCTGAGTAGCACCACGGAGAGGAGGATGGTGCCCGCGGGGCTGGGGAGCCCGGGCTCGACGTGAGGGGCGCGGGGCCGGGGCGGGAGGGCGAGATGCGGGCTGGAAGCGGGGCCGGGGCTCGAGGCGGGTGGCGCCGGGCGGGGGGCACGGGCGTGGGTCTGGGGCGCTAGCAGATCCAGCGGATGAACCTGTCGAAGAAGCCGGGCTGCGCCAGGCTGTCATAGTCCTTCTCGCGGAAGATGGCAGTGGCGTCGCCCAGGCTGATCTTGGACAGCACGTCCGCGTCCACGTCGCTGCCCACGGCCACCACGGTGGGCACCACGTTCTGCTTGCGCATGGAGTGCACCGCCTCCTCCAGACTGTCGTTGCCCGTGACGCCGTCGGTGAGGAACACGAAGGCCAGCTCGGCGTGGCGGCGCACCCCGGCCCGGGCGCCGTGCACCACCTGGTTGATGGCGTGCACGATGCCCGCGCCCACGTGCGAGAAGGAGTTGAGGTAGCGCGCGTTCTCCAGGGCCTGGTGGATGACCGTCAGGTTGGAGGTGAGCGGGAACTCCACCTGCTGCTCGCCGGGGCCCCCGAACTGCAGCATGGCCACGCGGGCGTTGAGCGGGTCGTCGTCCCTGCGCGCCAGCGTCAGCCGCCGGGACACCTCCTCCACGAAGCGCCGCGCCTTGTGGAAGTTCTGCTCGCCCAGCCGCTCCGAGCCGTCCAGCAGGAAGACGACGTCCACGGGCCGCTGCGTGCACTGCGCCACGTACAGCTCTGCGGGCAAAAGGGGCAGTGGGCGGGCGACCGGGGGGGCCTCCGCCGGCCCTGCGCCCCCCTCCGTGTGCCCCCTCCCGCTGGAGCCGAGAGCCCGGGCCGTGGGGCTGCAGCAGAGGACCCGCTGTGGGGACCCCCGACCCGGGTTGGCTGAGCATGCGCGTGGGCGCCCGGCCCCATCTTCTCAGAGCCGGTCACCGTGTCTGCGGGTTTGGCTTTCACCAGATGTCCCCAAACCTGAGGGCTGAGGGGCTCGCCGCCGTCCACCCGCTGGGCAGGGAGGGGACCCCAGAGGGCCGCAGTCCACAGCGGGTGCGGGACGGAGGCTCAGGGAGGCTGTCTTTGCATTCACGGTTGTGGGAAGACCCCGGATGCCAGGACCCACACCTGACCGTGACCCCCCCCCCCCACTGTCGTCCCAGAGCTGCCCGAGGGGCCCGGGCCATGTCCCTCCCAGCTTGGGAGCCGCCGAGAGAGGAGCCTGCGTCCCCCGTGACGGGACGGCCCCGGGCAGGCAGTCCGCACGGCGCGGCCAGGGCAGGGGGCCCTGCTCCCCCGGGAGGTCACCACCTGGGACCAGCCACCGCAGTCACGCCTCCCGGGGATGTGGGCACCGGCAGCACAGCCCGGAAACCCACTCCTCGCCACACCGCCTCGGCCCACGCTCCACCGACGCGCGGCGGGCCCCTCGGCCGTGAGGCCTCACCCCGGCGTCATGGGGGGAGGACCAGCCAGTCCTCGCGCCTGCCCCCGGGGCCTCAGCCAGGGACCCCGGGACAGGCGTGCGGGTTGCTGACGCCTGGGCCTGGACCGTGGGATCCCGCCGGGCGACAGGTGCACCTCCTGGCACCAGGCCCAGCCCTCCGCCAGGCCCGGCCTCAGGTCCCGCGGGCACCGGCCGCCCGCCGCCCCCGCCGCACATCACTTCACCACAGCAACGCGTTCACATTCTTTTTTCAGCCTTTATAGAATGTTTAGGATGTGGCCCCAGCGCCGGAGGGACCCCGGGGCCTTTCACGGCGCGGTGGGGGCCGGGCCACCCCCCCGGGCAGCTCTCTCTGGCAGGAAAGATTTGTTTTTTGTTTTTTTTTTAAGGAGCTTATATCAGTGACGTAGCTTATCGTGGTGGCGGCGCGGGTGGGAAGCAGCTTCTGCTTTAAATCCACGCGGCCAGAACTTGCTGGGATCCTAGCAAGTAGTCTGGGTGCCCCTGCGCCCCAGTCAGCACCGGCCCGACGCCTGTGGGGGTGCCTCCGCCAGGGACGCCGGCAGAAGTGCCAAGGGGTGGCCTCGGGCAGAGGCCGCAGGGGAAGCCGCGCGTTGGGGTCTCCGCTCGGCTCTTCCTGTCTGCCTAACGGCTCCCTCGAAGGCGCCCGGTCCTCACCCGCGGCCCGGGAATATGACCTTGGGTGGCAGGAGGAACTGAATTCTGACCCAAGACGCCCTGGGTTGGCCGGTGAGCCCTAGGAGCCTCCACAAGGTGCTTACAGCAGGAGGCAGGGGGCAGGCCCCCAAGGGGACACGGTAGGTGGCAAGAGAGGCAGAAACGCGAGCTGGAGGAGGCAGGACAGGTGGTCCCCGGAGCCCCCGGAGAGCGCAGCCCTGCCATCCCGGGATCTGGGGTTTCCGGCCTCCAGATGGACAGAGACTAGCCTGGTGGGCTGCCGGCCCCTCCGGGTGCGGGCGGCCCCGCGGCGTCAGCAGAGCGCCAGCGCGGTCTCGGGGTCGCCCACGATATCCCTGTGCACCAGCTTAAACGTGTCAATGAACAGCTCCATCCAGTCCTGCCGCTCGCTGCCCGTGGCGAACTTGGCTCGCTCGGCGGTGTAGACCAGCACCGCCACCAGCCTGGAGTAGGCGGCCGGGTCCTGCGTGAACTCCGTGGAGTTTAGCAACTGTTGGATCAGGGGGATGGTCCTGGGGAAGGAGGCGTCCGGGCCCTCTTCCGTGCGGAGGAAGGTGACCGGGGGCTCGCCGCCAGGCCGCGGTCCATCTGCGGGGGCATCCAGAGAAGGCGATGAGGGCCGCGCCGGCGCGTAGCAGGCCTGCAGCTGCCCTGGGGTGCGAGCGCACTGCGAGGGCCGGGCGCCTCCGTCCTCCGGGGACACTTGGGACCAAAGCCAGGAAGGGGTGTCAGGCTGAGCAAGGGTCGGATGAGGTCGGGGGTACCCGGCAGCGCGGGGCACCGGGGGCCAGCCCCAAAGCATGTGGCCGAGAACACAGGGGAAGCACCTCCGGGTCACCGCAGTCAGCACGCGTGGTGGTGTGGACACCGACCAACTCGGGTCGGTGTGGAGCAGCTCAGGGCTGAGCCCTGGATGACCCGAGCCCCTGGCGGCACCTGAGAACACTCACCGCCACCCGGAGCATGTCGTGGGCGGGCCCCGGACCCCCTGAGAACACTCAGGACGAGGCTTGCGGCGACCAGTCCTTCTCGGCCCTTGAGTCTCCCCTCGTCACTGCCCGGGACGTCCCCCTGGGGACCTGGGCATGGCTCCTGCTCCCCCCCAGGCCCCCCCAGGAGGTCAGGGCTCCACCCCGGGGGTCACCCTACTCCGAGTGCACCACTGCGTCTGTCCTATGGGAAAGGGAGCTTCTCCCCTGGGTGGGTGCTGGGTGGCAAGCCCGGGTGGCCGGGTCCCACGGCCCCCACCCTGCACACCCCGCCCTCTGCGCCCTCCCTCGGCACACCCGGCCCTGCAGAGTCTCCTGCGTCTGCCCCATGGAGGCTGGGCTCGGGTCACCCGAGCTCCCCCGTCCCCCGACCGCTGTCCCCAGCAGCTCCATCCTTGCCACCTGGGCTGGTGGCCAGGGCCCTGACGCCACGGAGCATGCTGCCCCCTGGCCTGGTCCAAGCCTCGGGATGGCTGGGCCTCCGGGTGGGCGGGGCCATGTGGCCCAGGGCTCAGGGTCAAGCCACTGCGCAGCGGCCTCCCGGCACCGGTGGCAGCCTCGGAGCGCCGCGCAGCCCGCCGGCCCCAGGGCGCAGGGACCCGCTGCTGAGTGACCCCCAGCGCCCTCTGTGCTTCCTCTGCTCCCGCCAAGGAGCTCGGACACGGTCCCTGCTTCAAAGGATTAGCTTGTTGGTTGCGGAGAAGCTGGTGGGGGGCGGGGAAGGTGGAGAAGGGCCTCCTCGGACCACGCCGGCGGTCACCTGGGTTAGAAGCGGCGCGGAGATGCTCGGGGGCGGGTCCAAGCCGCAGGGGACACCCAGGGGGCGGGGCCAAGCCGCAGGGAGACCCCCCCCGGGGGTGGGTTCAGGGAGACCCCGGGGGCGGGGCCAAGCCGCAGGGAGACGACCCGGGGGCGGGGCCAAGCCGCATAGAGACCCGGGGGCGGGGCCAAGCCGCAGGGAACACCCAGGGGGCGGGGCCAAGCAGCAGGGAGACGCCCCAGGGGCGGGGCCAAGCCGCATAGAGACTCCGGGGGCGGGGCCAAGCCGCAGGGAGAGCCCCGGGGGCGGGGCCAAGCCGCATAGAGACCCGGGGGCGGGGCCAAGCCGCAGGGAGACGCCCCGGGGGCGGGGCCAAGCCGCATAGAGACCTCGGGGGCGGGGCCAAGCCGCAGGGAGACGCCCCGGGGGCGGGGCCAAGCCGCATAGAGACCCCGGGGGCGGGGCCAAGCCTCATAGAGACCCCCCCGAGGGCGGGGCCGGAAGACGGGTGCAGAAGCCCGCACAGGGCCTCAGCAAATCTAGCAGCACACAACCACGCTGCACCGCAGGTCGGCAGGCTTCACCAGAAAACCAGCGTCACCCCTCACACTACATGCCAAGGAACAAAAGCTGCACGATCCTACCCAAAAATGCAGAAAACGCGCGTGGCAAAGCCCCACACCCAGTGGTGGAGGCGGCGTAGCAGGAGCAGAGAGGCCTTCTCAGCTTGCTGGGCCCCGGCCCTGGGGTCCCACGTTCTGCCCTCGACGGCCCACCTGACTGTGGGTCCCGCCCCAGGGTGACTGGGGCACGCTGAGGGCACAGCTCATGCGACGGCCGGCAGTGCAGTGTGGCCTCTGGCAGGGACAGCTGGCCCTCGCCCGCACCTGGGGCCTGTCCAGCCCACCCCACCGACTCCAGGGAGCGCAGGCCCCGCAGTGCCCAAGGCAAAGCCAGAGTGCCCAGGCGGCCCGGATGGGCAGGGGACCACCCTGATGGCCATTTTCTGGGAAGCGCTCAGCCAGAAGAAGCATGGGGACCCCCGCCCCCGACTCCACGCAGCTCCTGCCCACCTGCTGCCCCACCTGCTGCCTGTGAGGAGCGCGCACGAGCCCAGGGAACGCCAACTTCCCCTGCACGTGTGCACGCGGCCTGGCCTTTCCGTCTGAGTCCTGGGCTGCACCTGCCCGTCCAGCCCGCCCACCCGCGAGCCGGCAGGATATGGCCCGGTGTCCACGGCCTGGCCGAGGCCCAGGCTGGGGACAGGGCTCACCACGGGAGGGCTCAGCTGCTGCACCCTGGGCACCACTGTGGGCCCTGTGGGCCTGGTCACTGCACAGCAGAGCCTTGGACGCAGCAGCTGGAGGCCAGGGGTGCGTGGACGCCACCGTCCTGCCCCTTCCCGGCCCCACAGCACCCGGGATGGCTCCCGTGCATCCCCAGCACTTCAGCCTCCAACACAAAGGCAGCTCTGTGGGGCGAAGGCCCAGGCCCCAGACACCAGCCGCGGGTGCTTCCAGAGGCAGCAGCTCCGGGCTGTCGGGGGTCGCAGGCGGGAGTGAGACGCATTGGCCTGTGGCTGCCCGGTGGCGGCTGCCTTCGCCCCCTGGACACCTGGATGGTGGTAAAGCAGCCGCTCTGCTTCCCGGATCCCGCCTGGGCTGAGGTCGCTCTGGGGCATCTGTCCCTCCCCGGGCGGTGGGGTGAGGGGACACGAAGTGACGAGGCCATGAGCTCACGCAGGCCCGGGCGGAGCGCCCCCTCCACACGGGCGGCTGGCAGGCTCGAGATCAAACCTCAGCCCAGCCCCTGACGTGCCAGGGTCCTGGGGCTGGCTCGCCCATCTGCAGGTTTCTCAGGAGTCCCGCAGCGGCCCCTCCTCCCCAGCCCCGGCCGCTCGCTAGTCTGGGGCGGGGGGCCTGGCAGCGCCCCAAGTTACCTGTTTGGCAGGGAAGGTCCGGGCACACGATCTGAGGGTCTAGGAGCAAGGAGGGGGCCCAGTCAGTGTCCGTGGGCCGGGGTGGGGGCTGGACCACCGCCCTCCAGCCACCCGTCCCCCAGCCTGGCACGGACATGGCGGGGTGCAGCGGGGCAGACGGCCGCTCACCTGGGCACAGGACGTCCTCCATGTCGTCGATGAACTTCTCGGCCACCAGATCAGAGAAAAGGGTCATGTTCCGCACCTGCTGCGGCTTGTCACAGGCGATGGAGTAGAGGTTCTCGCTCTCGTGCCTCTCGTGGAACATGTCGCCGATGCCGATGGCCGTCACCGTGACGTCGTGGTTGCACAGCGCCCGCAGGTTGAGGTCGTCGTCCCGGGGGTCGTGGCGGCCGTCCGTGATGACCACCGCGAACACGCGGGTCTTCTGGCGCCGGCTCTCCTTGATGAGCTGGTTGTAGGCGAACTTGAGGGCCGAGGGCGTCCAGGTGCCGCCGGCGATCCACTCCAGGTTCTTGACGGCCTCCTTGAAGCTGGACAGCGAGTCGATGCGCTCGTCGTCCAGCTGGATGGCCTCGAAGGTGCCCTCGTGGCTGTACTGCACCACGCCCACACGGGTCCCTGTGGCCGGCAGGACGTCAGGGTGCTGGCTGTCGCCCCTGCCCCCCGCCACCCGGCGCGCCCGCTCCCGGGGGCCGCGGCCACTCTGGGCAAAGCCGAGACCCGGCCCTCGAGTATCCGCGGTGCGCCAGCCCTCGTGACCGGCCCCCGGGCACCTGTCCTCCCTGCCCACACCCGGGACCCCCGACGCCCCCGCCCACCCCGGGGGGCAGCTGACCGGTCTCTGACTTGGGGTCCTTGGCGATGGCACCCAGCCTGTTGACCACGTTGATGACGAAGTTCTTCTCCAGCGTGAAGTTGGTGTAGCCGATGCTCTCGGAGCTGTCGATGACGAACACCACGTCCAGGGCGCCACACCGCTTCTCGCAGTCTGTGGGCCGGGGGCACGGTCAGGGGGGCGCTGACCCCGGGCCTTGGGAGACACGCCCGGGCACGTGGCGGGAAAGGGGACCCCGAGGGGCGGGCACGACCCTGACTGCTGACCCTGGGCCCCGGACACAAGTGGGGGCCGGGACTCACCGCAGCACCCGCAGGTCTCCCTCACGTAGGTCATGACGTCACACTCCTGCAACACAGGGGCGTCGGTCCCGGGCCGAGGCGGCCGCACCCTCTGAGCCCCCTGCCGCCCCGCCTCCCCAGTTTAAGAGCAGGGAACGCACGATGCCATCCCCATCCGACACTCACCGTGAGGCCGGGGTCTCCCGGGGGACCGGGCTCTCCCTGGAGGACGGAGGGCAACAGTGAGAGGAGGCCCCTGTCTGGGCCGGGGCTGAGCGCCCCCACCCCGCTGCAGGGACCCCGCGGTTCCAGCCTGAGGCTCGGGGTGCACGCTGGCCAGGGTGGCCCGGGCTGGGGCCCAAGGGCCAGAGCCACCACAGCTGACCTACCTCGGGTCCTGGGGATCCTCTTGGGCCGCGAGGGCCGGGCTCGCCAGGGGGACCAGGATCTGCCTGAGGAGGGAGGAGGGCGGGTGGGCGGCGGCCTCCACCCTGGGCCCCCCGCGGCACCCCCCGCACCCCCAGCCCCGGGTACTCACGGGCTCGCCCTTCTCGCCCTTCCTCCCGGGATCTCCTTTGGCACCAAAGTCACCTCTGCCTCCCTGAGCAAAGGACACGGGTCAGCCCCGGGGTGGGCAGCGCGGCATGTCCCCACCCCCAGCCGGACCCCCAGGGCATCTGCCAGGGGCACCGCCGGGCTTTCGTCAGAGGTGGGGTCAGGGGCCGGGGGGTTAGCAGCCGCGTCACAGCGTTTCAGGACAGGCGCGGTTCTCCGTTTGGGAGTCGCCGGCACGAGGCAGCCAGGAAGTCGGGGTGAGGCGGGGGGCGTGTGGCTGCCCGGGGGGTGTGGGTGCGGGTCGGGTCCGTCGGGTGCAGGTGCAGGTGCAGGTCAGGTGGGCGTCGGGTCAGGTGTGGGTATTGGTCAGGTGCAGGTGCGGGTCGGGTTGGGTCCCGTGCACACGTACCTCGGGGCCAGGAGGGCCAGGCTCGCCTTTCTCTCCCTGCGGAGAAGCACAGCTGTCACTCTGCACACCCCGACCCCTGCCCTGGGGCGGGAGGCTGGCTGTCCTGGGGACCAGGGTTTCTGGAAGCCCCTCCTGCCCCCTCAGGGGTTCTGTTATCTCAGCTGCATGAGCGCCGTGCCCCAGACGCACCCTACAACCCGCGCTGTGTCCGGGGACAAGGACGCCCCCTCGCCCTCGCCTTGTCCTGAGGAGGGAGGCCCTCGCAGGAACTCGTGGGAGCCCCCGGGCCCCCGAGGCCCCCACCCCTGCTGGGACTTACGGGTGTTCCTCGGGGTCCCGGGTAGCTGAATCCAGGCCTGCCGGGGTCTCCCTGCGGATGGGGGGCTGGTCAGGAGGGTCCAGTGGGAGAGGAGAGGCTGAGCTGGCTGGGCTGAGGACGGGCGCCCACGGGGCTGGGCTGTGGGTTGGGGGGGGGCACACGTGCATGGACGGCCTGGGGCCATGCAACCCCGAGGGAGAGAATGGGTGGGGCTGCCCAACCCCTCACGACCCCACTCCAAGGAAGGGGCCTGGCACGTGGCCGGCAGCCCCCCGAGAGCTGAGAGGGGCTCAGGCCCCGAGGCCGGTCTGGCCCCTGAGGGTAGGGACGAACCTTGGGACCAGGCTGTCCTGACTCTCCACGGGGACCGGCGTCACCAGGGTCTCCCCGAGATCCCTGAGGGCAGAGAGAAAGTGGGGTCGGCACCCGTGGAGGGTGGACCGCGTCCAGCGACACACCCTCCACGCTGCTGCCCTGTGCACCGGGCAGCCCCAGCTTCCCTGCCCGGCTCCCCGCTCCCGGACGCCCCATCCTGGCCCCCAACCCACCCCTGCTCCTGCTCCTGCCTGCACAGCTGGACCCCCCAGGGCAGGGTGACCACGCGAGCTGCCCCCGACCCCATGCTGCGGCCCAAGCGTGCCACGGGCCAGCGTCCTGTGGGCAGGAGGACCCGAGGAGCCCTACGGGGGGGGGGGCCTGGCCCCAGAGCCACTGGGCCCTCCCAGGCATCCTGCCACTGACCTTCTTCCCCGGCTCCCCGAGAGCCCCCTGGGGGCCCCTGGGTCCTGGCAAGCCTCGGTCCCCCTGGAAGGAAAGGAGACCCCGCTGTGATCACTGCAGGTTGGGTGGGGCCGGGGCCCCTGCTGTCCCCCAGGATGTCCAGGGAGGGGGGGCAGGCCCCAGGCTCCCCTCCAGCCAGGACCCGGGCGGCCTCACTCACCTTGGCTCCTTTGTTCCCCACCTCTCCAGCCAGACCCCGGGGACCCTCCGGGCCAGGGTCTCCCTGTGAGAAGAGGCCAAGTCAGTCTCGGGCAGGTGGAGGGGCGGGGAGGGGGGCCCGATTACGGAGGGGGCGCCGGAGCACAGCCCTGCTCACTCGGTCACATGCACCAGGGACGGCACCGCCACCCACGTCCCAGAGGAGGAAGCCCCTCCTGCCAGGCCTCGCCCCACACCTTGTGTGGTCCTGCCACCCAGACATCCTGAGCGAGGGGCGGAGGGAGAAGCGGGGAGCCCGACATGGGACTCAATCCCAGGACCCCAGGGTCATGGGCTGAGCTGAGGGCAGACCCCGCACCGACTGAGCCCCTGGGCGCCCCGGGGTCACTTCTGTTTTCTGGGGTGGCCCAGGAGGGGGTCGCTGGTTTTCCCGGGTCCCAGGGCCCTGTTGACACCGTGGGGAGACGTGTGAAGAGGTGGACGCGGCGGACACTGCCCCTCACTCACCTTCTCACCCTTGGGGCCGTTGACGCCCGGGCTGCCCTTCGCTCCTGGGTCCCCCCTGCGCCCCTGTGGGGAACAGTGTGTGTCAGGGGGCCCCGGTGGTGGCGCCGCGTGGGGCCCACGCTCTGCTCTCATCACCCCAGCCTGGGCTCTGGGGCGAGTCACTTTACAGCCAAGGATTTGGAAATGCGGGACTTGTGGTCAGGGTGTGAGACGGGGCCAGTGCGGGGGTGCAGCCGACATGACCGGGCCCCCCATGCGATCAGCATGGTCACCCCGCTCACTTCCGGGCCGGCCAGGCCTGGGGCGGGGCCCCGCTCTGTGAGACCCAGAGGGACACGGGCCTGTGGGCAGGGGTGCCAGGTGGGACCCGCGGAGGGTGAACCTGAGGGCACGTCCGGCCCTCGGGGTGTCCTGCTGGGAGGGCGACGTGGGGCACGAGGCCGGTCCCCAGACGGGGGTGCAGCCAGTGGGGGCCTGCCCCGCCTGCACCTGTTCCGTGACCCATCGCCAGTGTCCGCAAGGGGGGGACAATGCGGCCCACGGGGAACGGCCGGCGGGTGCTGGGCTCCAAGAGGCCTGGACGGGGTGAGAGCGGGAGGGTGGGCAGGCGGGGCAGAGCCCGCAGGGGCAGAGCAGGGACTCACTGGCTCGCCTTTGGGTCCTCGGGGCCCAGGTCCCCCCTTGGCTCCTTTCACGCCGGGGCTTCCTGGGGACCCGTTGTTGCCTTGATACCCCTGCAGAGAGGACACGCGTCAGCCACAGCAGGAGGGGCCCCGGGGAACGCCCTGGGCCCGGAGCCCGGCCGGCGGCACGAGGGGTGGGGGGCGGCAGGCAGGGCCGGCGGGTGGCTGGGGGGGCGGGGACCCGCCGGGGGCACCTGCCTTGCTTCCTTTGGCCCCGCTGTCTCCTGGGGGGCCCCTGCGTCCCGGGCGGCCGGCATCTCCCTGGAAAAGTGGAGAAATCAGCCTCACACCCTCCGCCGCAGGCCTCAGGACCCCCACGGCTGCGCGGGTGAGGGACGCAGCCCCGGAGGCCCAGGAGGATGGGGCTGGGCCGCAGGCAGCCCCCCCAGCGTGAGTGTCCCCCCAACCCCCCTGCTCCTGCAGCCCCTCAGGCGGCACTGCTGACCCTCCTGCTCCTGTGCCCGCCTGCAGGGACCAGCCCTCTGCGGGCTCCTAGGACGGGCGGCCCCCGCGCCCCCACCCCCGGGCCCGGCTGGCAGGAGAGCCACCAGGCTGCCCTCGAGGCCACGGCCCGGGCGGGCGGCCTACCTTGGTGCCCTGGTCCCCTTGCTCCCGGGGCTGCCGGCTTCCCCTGCATATCCGTCGGGTCCCTGCAAGACGGGGGAACGGGGCTGTCCTGGGCTCCTGTCCCCACACTGTGCGCCCCGCCCAGGGCTCGGGGCCAGAAGCCCGTCCGGGGAGCACCACCCCCTCACCCAGGAAGCCCCCGAGACTACCTCTCATCGTGTGCCCACGACTCTGGCTGAGCCCCGGGGAGGTGGTCGGGGCAGGAGGCGGCTGAAGGGAAGGTGCACGCCGAGGGACTCCCGGCTCCCTCGCTGCCCCCACCCGCCGCCCCCGCCCCGCGTCTCCCAGAGCCAGGGCTTGAACCCCAGGAGGGACACAGCTGCGCTTACCCGGCTCCCGGGGTCGCCCTTGCAGCCAGGAGGCCCGATGCGCCCCAGCTTGCCCTGAGGGGGGACAGGGTGCACAGGGTGGGTTAGGCGGTGACAGGTGAACGGCGGGCCAGTGCCCCTCGCCACCCCCAGTGGGCACACAGCTGTGCCTCCAGTGGCTCGACTATAGGGTGGCGTCTGTGGGGTGGCCGCGGGCCCCTGGACGTGGCTGGACGTGTGTGCGGCCCACACGCAGACCAGAGCCGGGCTTCTGGAGCCCAGCGGGACCGGCGGCCGGTCCTCAGGCACAAACGTGCGTGCTGGCTCTCAGGACGCTGCTCCTTCCCTGCATCCGTCCGGCCACAGGCTGTGGGCAGTGGCCCAGGCAAGGACTCGAGGGCTCGGGGAGGCTCTGCTCACTCCCAGACCTCAGAAGGGGGGACGCGCCCCGGCCCAGAGAGGGGGCCCCAGATGCACTCTACCTTCTGTCCGTCGGTCCCGTTCTTGCCGGCCAGGCCGGGAGCCCCCTGGAGGGACAGGTCGGCGGTCAGCGCTTGGAGCAGCGGGAAGGGGGTGCCCGCCCGCCCACCTGCCCGGCCCCCACGGCCCCTGTGACCGCCGCAGCCCACTTACCTTCCGCCCGTCAGCTCCAAATTCACCCTGTGCAGGAGGGAAGCGAGGTGGGTTAGCTCGGCGGCCCCGGAGGCTGCTGCCTCGGGCCCCAGGTCTGCCTGGACCCCAGAGAAGGCCGCCCCCACCCCCCGCCCGCAGGACGCAGGGGACTGAGCCCCGATCAGGGCCACAGGCTCGCCGACGGACGCTGCTGGGGGCTGGCGCCGAGCTGGAGCGGTGGCCACGGGGTGGGGGGGTGTCTCACCTTCTCTCCTTTGAAGCCAGGAACACCCTGAGGTAGGAAGCAAGAGCGGCGTTACCGTGGTTACTCTGGGGACGGCCAGGGCGGGGGGCAGCCTCCGGGGACACGCGACCAGGACTCCATGGGGAGGCTCGTTTCAGGGACAGAATTCCAGATATTGGGATTCTCGCGTTGGGGTGAGGGCAGGCAGGGACCTCCTGACCTGTGGGGCAGCCCCCACTGGCCCAGGCCGCCCTGGGCTGGTCCCCCCACCGCAGTCCCGGGGACGGGGGGCCAGCAACTTGCCTTGGGTCCTGGGAAGCCAATGGGGCCTTCGATGCCGGGATCTCCCTGTGGACGAAGAACAAACAGCGGCGGCTGAACCCCAGTCCTGGAGAATCAGAGCCAGTGGGGCCGGGGTGCAGAGGACACTCACCTGGCGACCCTTCTGCCCGGGTTCTCCTGGCTCGCCCATGTTGCCCTTGGCGCCCTGAAAGCAGATGATGGACAAAGAGGTGAACGAAGGCAGGAGGAGGCGAGCAGACCACGGAGCGGGCAGGTGGGCAGACACTTCTGAACTGCCGTGTCCTGCTCTGGGGCTCCTCTGTGTCCCCTCGGACGCCCACCGTGGTCCCCCCGCCCCCTGGAGGCCCAGGGCACATCCACGCCTGGGCTGGGGCAGGTGGCAGGGCCAGCAGGACGGGGCGGGCGGCCGAGCACCTGTCCGGCTCCAGGCAGCCACGCACCGGCCACAATGAGGAGGGAACCGGGGAGCTCCGGGGGGACACGCCGCCCACGGCACAGCTCCCCGGCCTCCTCTGCTGCGGCCACTGACAGCACCACTGGCACTTCTGAGGCCCTGGCACAGAACTTCGCAAGGAAGTTGCAAGCCACGTATTTAATAAGCCACGGAAGTCGGTGATTTCCTCAGTCAGCAGCCCCGTCACCAGCAGAACCGCTTCACGTTTCGTGTCCTGCTCAAGCTTCCTCGCTTTATAACCAGGACATTCCCACGGCAAATCTTAATAAAAAAGCATTCCCGCTTTCCTCAAAAAACACCATTTTTAACTGGAAGGAGCTACACAAGACTTTCAGGTCTCCGGGATCGAGGGTTGACGGCGCTCCCGGCCCCACGTGCGGAGCCGACGGGGGCGGCCCGGGCCGCTTACCTTCTGTCCGCGGTAGCCCTTGGGGCCGGGGGGCCCGGGGATCTCCAGACAGCTCACCTTGTAGCACTGAAAGGAGAAGCAAGAGGTGCTGAGCAAGGTCGGCGCCCAGAGCCGGGGGGGGGGGGGGGCGGGCAGCCCTGGGCGGCCGACGGGAGCAGGGGCCGCAGGGACAAGCCGACGGGGGAGGTGCCCAGGAGCTCCCGGGACCCACAGACACCATGGCCACGTCTGGGAGAACCAAGGTTCAACAGCGATTGCAGGAGGGATGGAACCCGCCTGTCCAGGCACCACCTGTGCGTGGGATTCCCACCCCGTGTCCGTGGGCGGCGGTGCTAGGGGAGGGCGCTGCTGGAGGGGCCCCTGGGTGGGGAGTGCGGGCTCCTGGCTGTGAGCTGGGGGGGCGGTACATGGGGACGGGAGACGGGAGGGAGACGCATGGGGACGTTGAGGGAGGCGGGGATGTCAGGGGATGCATGGGGATGGAGGATGTCACGGGATGCACAGGGACGTGGGGATGTCGGGGGATGTACAGGGTTGGGGATGGGGTTGTTGGGGGACATATGGGGATGGGGGACGTTGGGGGATGTATGGGGATGTGGGGATGTCGGGGGATGTATGGGGTCAGGGATGGGGGACGTCAGGGGATGCACGGGGACGTGGGGACGTTGGGGGATGTATGGGGTCGGGGATGGGGGATGTTGGGGGACATATGGGGATGGGAGGACGTTGGAGTTGCATGGGGACAAGGATGGGGGACATCAGGGGATGCATGGGGGGACATTGGGGGATGTATGGGGTCGGGGATGGGGGACGTCAGGGGATGCACGGGGACGTGGGGACGTTGGGGGATGTATGGGGTCGGGGATGGGGGATGTTGGGGGACATATGGGGATGGGAGGACGTTGGAGTTGCATGGGGACAAGGATGGGGGACATCAGGGGATGCATGGGGGGACATTGGGGGATGTATGGGGTCGGGGTTGGGGGATGTCAGGGGATGCACGGGGACGTGGGGATGTTGGGGGATGTATGGGGTCGGGGATGGGGGATGTTGGGGGACATATGGGGATGGGAGGACGTTGGAGTTGCATGGGGACAAGGATGGGGGACATCAGGGGATGCATGGGGGGACATTGGGGGATGTATGGGGTCGGGGTTGGGGGATGTCAGGGGATGCACGGGGACGTGGGGATGTCGGGCGATGTACAGGGTCGGGGATGGGGGATGTCGGGGGACATATGGGGATGGGGGACGTCAGGGGATGCATGGGGATGTAGGGACGCCGGGGGATGTACGGGGTTGGGGATGGGGGATGTCAGGGGACATATGGGGACGGGAGGACGTCAGAGGTTGCATAGGGACAGGGACGGGGGATGTCGGGGGCCCAGGGCGGAAGCTCAGCGGACTGTCCCTCCGGCCTGGGGCTTCGAGGGCGGCCCTAGTGCCGACCCCTGGGGTGCCGCCTGACTCCGGCCAGCAGCCCCTGGTCCACACTGAGCAGCCTCAGGCCCCCCGAGCGGAGGGTCTGGCTGCCCGGCCCCGGGGGGGCGCCGCAGAGGCCCAGGGGCAGCACCGGCCGGGCTGGCGGGAACCGGCGACGCCTCTCACCTCTCCGTAGGCTTCATGTTTCTGCAGGAAAGACAAAAAGCGCGGCCCTTAGCCGGAGCTGGAGGCTGGAGGCTGGAGGCTTGGGGCTGGGGGCGGGCAGTTTGGGCGGCGCCGCGGGAGGGCGCAGAGGGGTAAACTGAGGCCCAGAGCCTCGCGCGGCCCGGCCACGGGGCGGGGGGCGCTCACCATGACCTTGATGATGCGGTTGACCGTGTCCTGGTCGATGTCCAGGTCGGGGCGCACCGTGGCGTAGTCGTTGCGGTAGAGCTCCAGGGGCACGCTGGCCATGTCCCGCAGCCCCTGCTCGTTGGGGCTCTGGTTGGGGGCGACGGCGAAGACCCGGACGCCCTCCTCGCGGGCCCGCTCGGCCTGCAGCTTGACGCCGCCGCACGGGCTGCCGGTGACGTGGCCGTCGGTGACCACGACCGCGAAGTGCACGCCGCCGCCCTTGCCCCTGAGCCGCCGGACCTCGTGCGTCATGTTGGCCAGCGCGCAGTCGGTGAAGGTGCCCTTGCGGATGGAGACGATGCTCTCCAGGCTCTTGGTGAAGGAGGCGCGGTCGCTGTCGGGCGGGCTGAACACGCGCACCGCGTCCGAGAAGTGCAGGCCGCCGTAGCGCCAGCTCAGGGCCACCTGGTCCAGGTAGGTCTCGTCCTGCAGCTGGCTGACGAACTGGCGCACGAACTGCTTCATGTGGTACAGCAGGCTGTCGATGGGCGACTGCATGGTGACGCTCTCCGAGGTGTCCAGCACGAAGTACACGTTGATGGGGCAGTCGGCTTTCTCTGCGGGCGGGGCGCGTCACTGGGCGGGGCGGGCCGGGGTGCGGGGCGGGGCGGGGCGAGGATGCTGGGCGGGACGGGGGCGGGATGCTGGGCGGGGCGGGGATGCTGGGCGGGATGGGGGCGGGAGTGGGGCGGGGCCGGGATGCTGAGCGGGACGGGGGCGGGATGCTGGGCGGGGCCGGGATGCTGGGCGGGGCGGGGGCGGGAGTGGGGCGGGGCCGGGATGCTGAGCGGGGCGGGGGCGGGATGCTGGGCGGGATGCTGGGCGGGACGGGGGCGGGATGCTGGGCGGGGCGGGGGCGGGATGCTGGGCAGGGCGGGGCCGGGAGTGGGGTGGGGCCGGGATGCCGGGCCAGGGGCAGAGCTGGGATGCTGAGCAGGACGGGGGCGGGATGCTGGGCGGGACGGGGGCGGGATGCTGGGCGGGGCGGGGAGGCTGGGCGGGGCCGGGATGCTGGGCCGGGACGCTGGCCCCCTCCCCCCCCTCCCCCCCCCCCCCGCGGACGCAGCCCCGCAGGTACCTGGACAGCTGTTTCTGTCGGAGCTGGGGGGCGCCACGACCTCCTGCTGCTGCGCATGCAGCGCCCCCAGGAGCCCCCAGAGCAGGAGGGCGGAGAAGGGGCCTCGGAGCATCCTGGCGGCACCCACGCGCCCCGACGTCCTGCAACACGGAGGAGCCGCCGCTGCACAAGCGCCCTCGCGGGTGTCGCGGCGCCCCTGGGCCCTCCGCCGGGGGGGGGGGTGTCGCGGTGGGGGCGCCCTCGTCCTCGCCCCGGCCAGCCACACCTCGTGGCCCCTGGGGCCGCAGGCTCCGGGTTGGCGCCGCGGGGTCCGCGCCCACCTCTGCCCTCTGGGGGCTGCGGGCGCTAAGCCACAGGAGCTTAGGAAAGGAAAGGCCAGGGGCGGGCGTTGGCGACAACAGAGCACGTGGGGGTCAGCGGGCGGTGACGGGGAGGGGCGGGGCCTCGGCACCATGCCAGCCGCCCCAGGGACACCTGCCACCGGCGGGGGTGCCTCCCCGGGAGGGGCACTGTCCCCGACGTGTCCAGGGGACCGCGGGCGGCCCGGCTGCTGCCTGCTGCCCGCCTTGCGACCAGCGCGGGAGGGGGCCGGGGGCCTGGGGCCTGGGGGCTGCGGGGACGGCGAGGAGGGGAAGGTGGGACTCGGTTCCCACACACGGCGCTGCCTCCCGGGGTCCCCAGAGCAGGGCCAGACCCCGAGGAACACGGTGCCCCGCCCGGACTCGGCTGCCAGTGGGGGCGCAGGGAGGCTGGGCCCGCAGGCCTGGGGTCGGGGGACTGAGGAGCCCTGCGGGAAGGCAGAGGCCCGGGGCGCGCCGGCGCACTTTTCCTGGTGATGCCTCTAATGCGTTTGAGAGGAGGTGGATGGAATCTGGGATGGAATCTGGGGGCAGAATAAGGTTCAATGTCGCCTGAGTTCAGGTGAGAGGAGCTGGTCCTGGCATAATTAGGAGGGGCCAGGCCGGCCCTGCCTCTCCAGCCGAGGTCATGGTCAGGTCAAGAGGTCTTGACCCTGCAGGTAGAGGCTGGAACCCTGCCAGGTGTGACCTTGCACAGACTAAAGCAAGCCCAGTGGGTGTGCCAGGGAATCCAGGAGGGTTTCCTGTATGAGGTGATGCAGGCAGTCAGACTGAGGGGCTGTAAGAGGAAGGGGAGCTCCCAGGGGGGAGTGGCTGAAGTTGGGGCTGGGAAGGTGGCGGGAGGGGCCAGCCAGGGGGCCGAGAGAACCTGGAAGCCAAGAGGAAGTCAGGCCGCAACAGTCAGAGCAAAGAGGTCCAGAGCCATCGACCGCAGGTGACAGCCAATGTGGGTATGTAGGACATCGATGGGCCAGGCTGGGGGCTTGTGGAGGCTGAGCACTGAGACGTGGGCACAGCTTTGGCCCCCACTGCCCCTCACCCTGCTGCCCCCATGTGGGAGCCGGGAGTCCTGTCCCGTCTGCTGTGGTCGGGAGGTGGTTGTGCGCTTGCCAGCCCTCCATGCGTGTGCACACACACCTCACATCACACGCACGCTCACACCCACTCAATTAAAGAGGCCCCCATGATAAGGTGTACTGGTGAGAAATGCTACTCTCAAACGAAAGGAAGAATTCTAAAAATAATCTACCCAGGAGGAAAACACACGAGCAGCGACAAAAAATATATTAAAAACAAACCCAGAGGGAAGAATCATCTAGGTGTTGTGAGCAGCCTCCAAGGTGGGCCCAATATCCATGTGTCCTGATACTCACACTCTTAGGAAACCCTACACGCTCAGCTGTCACTAGCCTATATGGCCAATAGGTCAGCATGCAGACGACAGCTCACAGGAGACACCGGGGCCGTTGCCTGGCCTTCTCCTGGGCTGCTCCCAGGGAGGAAGCGGCACACGAAGGCACTCAGGCAGCCTTGCCGGGCAGGTGAGCCGAGGTAGGAGCACATCCTCAGCCCAGACAGCAGGTGAGCAAAGCCCTGGCCAGTCCCCAGGGCTGTGCCTGCACCTCCTAGGGGACCCTGAGCTAGAACCGCCCAGCCACAGCATTCCTGACTCGAATCAATTGTGATATAGCAAATGCTTCTTGTTCTAAATTTCTAAGTTCTGGGGTAATTTATTACATAACAATAGATAACTAACGTAGGCATCAAACTTTTCCTCCACAATATTGTACACAGAAAACCAATGAGACAGTAACTGGAGACTTCTGCGGGGAAAATGAAATGACCCCAAGATACCTGCCTGGTCAACTTAGCTTTCATGCAAAGGATAAACGTCACAGGTATAAATGGAGTCACCCACATGCCATTCCTAAAAAAATTCTGCAGACAACAGAGAAATGAATAAAGGTAAGAAAAAGAGCGAAGACCCTTGAAGAATAGACTGGAATATAAAAAAGGAAGGAAAAAGGAGACAGAAAGCACAGTATCACATGGATCAGTTGACAATATATGTGAATATCTTAAACTCTTCTGTTAAAGACTAATGTTCTCATGCCCCCCGATGTTTATAGCCACATTATCTACAGTAGCCAAACGATGGAAACAGCCCAAGTGTCCACTGACTGATGAATGGATAAAGAAGATGCGGTCTATACACACACATACACTGGAATACTACTCAGCTGTAAAAAGAATGAAATCTCACCTTTTGCAACGACACGGATGGAACCAGAGGATATTATGCTAAGTGAAATTTCAGTCAAAGAAAGACAAGAACTATATGATCTCGCTCATATGTGGAATTTAAGAAATAAAACAAAGGGGTAATAAGAGACAAACCAAAACACAGACTCGATATAGAGAACACACTGATGGTAACCAGAGGGGAGGTGGGGAGAGGGTAAAGTGGGTGAAGAGGATTAAGGAAGGCATTTGTGATGAGCACCAGGGGGTGTATGGAAGTGCTGATGCACACCTGAGACTAATATTACACTGCATGTTAACTACACTGGAATTAAAATTTAAAAATGAATAAAGAAGATGTGGCACATATATGCGTGTGTTTATGTGTATACACAACACACATGTACACACAACAGAATATTGCTCAGTCATAATGAGATCTTGCCATTTGCAACAACATGGACCTAGAGAATATTAAGCTAAAGACATAAGTCAAAGACAAATACCAAAAAAAAAAAAAAAGACAAATACCCTGTGATTTCACTTATATGGGGAATCTAAAACACAGATGAGCAAATAAACAGAAACAAAAACAGACTCATAAATACAGAGAACAAGCTGGTGGCTTCCAGGGTGGAGGTGGTGGGGTGGGCGAAGTAGATAAAGGGGATGAAGAGGCACAAACTTCTAGTGATAAAGCAGATGAGTCACGGGGATGAGAAGTGCAGCCCGGGGAACACAGTCAATAATATTGTCACAGCATTTGTGCAGTGACACACGGTGACTACACTTATGGTGGCTGAGCATAGCTGAATGCACAGAACTGTCGAATCACTCTGCTCTACACCTGAAGTCCATATATTTCAACTATACCGCAATAAAAAAAGAAAGAAAAGATAAATATTCCTAAATTGGATCAAAAAACAAAACCCAGGGATCCCTGGGTGGCGCAGCGGTTTGGCGCCTGCCTTTGGCCCGGGGCGGGATCCTGGAGACCCGGGATCGAATCCCACGTCAGGCTCCCGATGCATGGAGCCTGCTTCTCCCTCTGCCTGTGTCTCTGCCTCTCTGTCTCTGTGACTATCATAAATAAAAATAAAAATAAAAAATAAAAAACAAAACAAAACAAAACAAAACCCATCTGGATGAGGTTTGTGAGAGTCACACTAGATAGGCTGTCACCAACAGTACAAAGAAAACCAGGGCAGGGCGAGACAGAGAGGACCGTGATGAGGGAGCGTGAGGACCCATCGAAGTGAGACAGAGGGTGAGAGATGCTGCCAAGGACGAGATAAAGGCTGCAGTCTAGTTAGGAGTCTTTATGTATTGGGTTTCGTAACAAAAGTGTATAAAGCAAAAGTGGTGAAAAATTGAAGAAAAACTGACAAATTGCAATCATAATAGAAGACTTTAACTCACCTTTGAAACTTGTGGACAGACCACATAAGTAACAAAAAAGAGGATGTGAATGTCATGTTTTATAAAACTTTGATAGTAACAAGTAGGGAATATGCATTTTCTAAATATTTGGATTTGGATAATGTGCATTAGTAAGACAGAAACAAAATACCTAGAAGTTTGTTTTTTTTAAAGGACGCATTCCATTTTTAGGTTAAAAAAAATTTATGACAGACACACACACCACACACACACACACACAACACAGAGGCAGAGACACAAGCAGAGGGAGAAGGAGGATCCAGGCAGGGAGCCTGACATGGGACTCGATCCTGGGTCTCCAGGTTCACACCCCGAGTGGAAGGTGGTGCTAAACCGCTGGGCCACTGGGGCTGCCCAAAAATACCTAGAAGTAAAAACAAAACAAAACAAAACAAACAAACCCCACCTTTCTTTTGTTAAAACTATATAAGAATTAGTGAGAAAACACAATGTTAAGCATAAAAACAAATATGAGAAGACCAAAGCTATAATTAGAGGACAATACATAGCCTTAGATGCTTTATGTGGTAAGAGAGGAAATCAGCATAATAAACTAGGCACATAGTTGAAAAGCTAGGGACAGAAATAAATTAACAAAATGAATCTCAGGAAAATAAGAGAAAGAAAAGAATAAGAAATAAACCAATTGATTAAAAAAACACAACAGTAGAGTTATAAATATATCTAAGAGCTGGTTCTTTGAAAAGGCCAATAAAGTAGAAAAATTTAATCAAAAATAAAAGTGATGAAGCATAAATATAGTAATACACAAATTTAGGAATGAACAAGGTGATAGAATGAATGTGAAAGTCCACGTTCTGGGAACGTCTTGAGAAGAGGTGAGGAATGGACTGGACTCTGCCCTGCAGGGCTGGAAATACTGGCAGGAGGTTACGCCCCGAGGCTCTGGCCCACAGGGATTTGGGTGAGTTCTTTTGCAGCTTCAGGGACAAATAGTCTCTGCCAGTTGGACTGTTTCAAAACACAGAAAGATAAGCTTTTCAATTTATTGTTAAACTTGGAAAAACCTGAGACAGAGACGTGATAAAAGAAATACCTAAAAGGAACTCTGTGGACAAATTTCACTTTTGAATACAGTTGCAAAATTCCTAACAGAGGCTAGAGAATAAAATCCATTAAGCATACCAAAGATGACTGCCCCCAAACTGGGTGAAGCCAGTTTAGACACACAATGATGCAACACTACAAAGTACGGTAACAAAAGGCACATTAACATAAAGAGAATCATGTAACTGCTTTAACGGAGCCCTGGAACATCCATTGCTGACGGAAAAAAAATTACAAGAAAATATATAGAAAAAGCTATAGATTTTCTTCCACCAGCAACAACCAATTAGGAAACTTAATGGGGTCTTTTCTGATTCCACACAAATCTTAAAATAATTTGTTCTAACTCTCTGAAGAAAGTCCATGGTATTTTGATAGGGATTGCATTAAACATGTAAATTGCCCTGGGTAACATTGACATTTTCACAATATTAATTCTGCCAATCCATGAGCATGGAATATTTTTCCATCTCTTTGGGTCTTCCTCAATTTCTTTCAGGAGTGCTCTATAGTTTTTAGGGTATAGA